AACATTCGCCACGTGTTGAACATTTGAGCTCTTTTTAATTTTACGTTTTACAATCTCTGACCAGTCAGATTGCTTGCTCGATTCGGTCTTGCAATCGGATTGCTGCTTTCTTTCTACTTTTGGCCTATTGTTAATAGCCGCATCATTTACTATTTCTCGGAAGATGTTTCTTTCTTCAATAAATAGTTCTTCTAATTTTTTTAACTTTTCGTCAAGAATTGACTCAAATTTAGCTTTTTTTGAGCTTGGAATTTTAAAAAGGTTGAGAGCAGCATACTGAGGCAATTTGCTTTCAATTTTGTTGCTCAGAATTGTTTTTATTGTTAGTATTAAATCACTAACCTTGTCCTTTTTAGAGTTTCCAGAACTGTTTGGCTTTATTTTATCATCTTTTTCTAGATTTAACGCATCTAGATCGCTGGTAAGTATTTTTTTTGCTATTCTAATATCTTCACAATTGTAGAAATCCATTATTTCGTAAATGAATTCCGCATCATCAATTTTGTCAGAATTATTAAATAAATAACACAATAACTCGTTAATGCAAACCGCTCGCGACATCGTACCGGAAACAGTTATATATATATATGTATTGACTTTAATAAATTGTTAAACTAGCAAACTCATTATTTTGCATCATGCTCGCGTTTCTATTTTTTACTACATGCTACCACAATTTTTCAGCCAAGCCAGCTGAACATTTCTACTAACCAGAAGACCAATTTATCGAATAAACACATTAAAAAATTTTTTTTTAATTTATTAAACAAATCAGTCAGCTGTTCATTTTGAATTAACATTAATCAAATCAGGCTTTCAATCGTCGTAACTGATCTGCTCTTTCCAAAAGATTTTGAGAGGCAGATTTCTCAGTAGGCTGGTGTTTAAATTCAGGAGAATCACTAGGAAAATCTGTGATGTTGTGTTTGGGATTTTTATTGAGGTAAGGTGTCCACACTCCTTGGATACTGGGCGTGTCTGTTCTCCAGGTCTTCACCAGTCTGTGCTCACTGGAGCCAGATATGTTCTTTAGGTGTTCCACCCACTGGCATATTTCTTCGACTGACTTGTCAGATATTGGAATCTTTTGCTCGTTGCCATTTACTGTGAAAAGAAGTATGGTGTTAGTTGCTGTGGTTTGCAGAATGTTGAAATATTATTTAGGTCTCTCATTGTATTATAAAATTTTATAGAGTATTACAGAGCTGCAAATATTGCAAGCATAAAAATTCACTGGTCAATTGTGAATATTAAGCAAGTTTAAAATCTGGGGAAATGTGAAGCTAGATCGGTTATGAATTAATTTGGTAATAAACTTAGTTTAACACACTATAGACAAATTAAATTGGCTAGATATAATGGCTAGCGACATCAACTTTTACAATGTTTTGGGGTTAAATTAATAATTGAACAAACGTTTTATTATCATCAAAAACAATGTAATGAAAAACAGTTGACTAACAAAATGTTCCGACGATAAGAGGAGCTTTTAACCGTCGAGGTTTCAAATAGACAACTATCCCAGGATTTGATCTTGTAAACTCCAGCAGATGCTGCTCAATGAAATCCCTTTAAAAAATTTTCAAAGTTAATGTCAGTAAAGCCTGACAAATCTTTATTTAATAACTAAATCAATGATAGACAATTTTGAAGGGATTTATTTATATTTTATGATAAAATTTAAAAAAATAAACTATGATGAAACAAGGAAGCATACACAAATGATTTATAATAACCTGGCACTTCTACTAGAACCATGACTCTTACAAAATTTGATGGTGAGTCGTTGTAGCTGGCATACATACCTCCCAATGCC